TAAACGTGCACAAAGTGGCTGTGAAAACTAATTGACTGCACACTTGTTTCCAGTGCAGATGTTTGAGGGCAAATATGTTAATGCTTGTTGGTATCTTAATCCTTAAAATTCCCTAGCAGAAGTTAAATATCTACCCCTTCTAAGGCTGTTTTGTGTCTGTATCATCAGCAACTAACAGGATTCCCTTAGTATAGGAGGAAATCCTGGATGTTTTAGAAATGACATACTTGGTTTACATTGCATTCTGTCAACACGGTTAATGCGGCTACAGGCAGAAGAACATGGACAGGATAATATTGCATTCTGGCAATCTGTGTCTATGAGGAATGCAATCTCTGTGTCATCTGGTAAGGCTTCTCTGTTTTGTGCAAAGTTCCAAATGGCACCTCTTTATTTATTTAAGGACTTTAGGTCAAAACCAACACCGTAATTGTGCCAAGAAAGGACTTGGAAGCCAGTGCAGATATTGGTAACATGCTCTTGGAAATTCAACCAAGAGGCAAATTACCAGCTTGTGCACTTAGCAAGCAGCCAAGCAGTCAACAAGAATATCTCCACCCAGAGCATATTACAGTAATGTAACTTGAATCTGATCCACCAAATCAAACTTTTAGAAAGGGACACAAAAGTTTGTGAAACAGAGAAGCATGTGTGTTGTTAAAAGGGTATTTACATTTTTAAAAGAACAGCATATCCAATAAAAATGTTACAGTTTGAATGAAGAAACCTACAAACTGATTTCATATGCTGATGTGTGGTTCATTAAAACTATACAGTTAATAAGAGGTATCTTTATGCCGTGGATTTGGAGTAAACTATGTGAACTGATTTCAGTTTAAAATGTGTCATATTACAATGTAAAACAAGTAGACTATGATCAAACTGAAACAATTGGACATTTGTTTAACACCACCACACTGTATAATTTGATGAAATGTAAATAGGTTTTCCTGGATTCTGAACTTCACAGGCATCTGAAACATTTTAATGACAATTAGGAATGTTTCCTGCTTCAGCTTGTGTACCTTGCTGTTGTTTGCAAGTCACGCTAGCACTATTTCAAATGTCATCATGCTGCCTTCCAGCTCATTTGGGAGAAGTGACTCTACAAGGCCAGCTGCCAGGAAATCTTTGGCCAAATACATAGGTGAACATATTCTTCTTTCCAATTCCTAACTAGAAAACAACCAGTGGCAACTCCTACTTCCTGATGTCAGCAATCATACATATTCAAGCAAGGAGGACTGCCAGCTGAGCTGATCATAAGGAAAACACAATTAATGATGATAGTTACTTGCCAGAAATAGCAACCATATCAAGGTACCTCCATAACAGATATTAAGCTATTGCATTGGTTACCATCTCTTCTTGTGAAAGGGTCTCTGCAATAGGTGAGGTGTGATGCTCATGGGGACAGGAGAGGGAAATCTTTCACCAGCAACCAAATTCTAGTCCTGAATGGAAAACATAGCTAGGGTGAGTTGAGGATCAGAAGTGCACTTCTTGTCAATTTCTGGATTTTGGCAGTTGCTCCCTGACTTTATTCCAGAGTGCTTGTTTTGCATTCTTCTAGATTGATTCTTAATGCTGAATTTCCATATCTGGAAACTAGATACGGATGCAAAGTTCTTCACTGGATTACCTAATGTTAGCAAATGATGTGCCCATCACTACATCTTTGTATGGCCATCTTTATAATGAGTCAAAATGTGGTCACCACTTCTAGTTGCTCATGATCTGAATGGCACAACAGTTTCATAGTAGATGTCAATATTGATTCTTTCATTTTAAGGGAAACATTTGCTTGGATTATTAATAGAAAGCATGAGCATTTGTCTGAGACGGCGGTCGTTCCTTTCTCCCATCCTATTGCCTGTCATAATCTACCCCTCACGGTAAAGGTGAAGACATCCTCAAGTTAATCCAAAGGTGCTTTTCTCAGGAGGCAACTGGACCTCCACCTTTGGGACAACCATAGCTGGATGACTGAGAACCTCTATAGACATTCTCAAATTAAGCTGAACTTCTAGCATTACATTAGTAAAACTCAGCCCACGCCCATGTCCTTTCCTTGACAACATTATGGAAGCGGTTTGCTATTTCTTTCTTCCAAGATGTTTACTCAACTTTCCAGCCTAGTTTACAGTCCTGAAATTCTCAAGGGATCTCACATCCAAGGTCATTTCACCACCAAAGACTTATAATATCTTCATTCCATCACTCAGTTATTGCTGTATTGAAGCAATGGAATGTCTGTCCTTGCTACTCTTATTCTGGCATAATAATGATTGGATGATGCTAGAACACTCCAGGGTGCTAGTGGGGAAAGAAGTCAGCTTAGCATTCAAACTGAGACAAGATTGACCAGGTGCTGCCACATACTTAGATGCCTCTCTGAATACAGTAAGGATATGCTAATTCTGTATACACAGGAGAGAGGGGGGGAGGGGGGAGGGAGGGAGGGAGGGAGGGGGGGAGGGAGGCATGACTGATTACAAATTGATTTTATTTTATACATTGGCTCTGGGTGTGAGATTAATTTTATCAGTTCTGTCTGGTTTCTTTACAATTGGTGTGAGGTAGATATCTATGTCCTGGCCCAGCCTCCCCTCTCTGCCCCAAGTTGGCAAAATGAACATGTTCTATACATAATTGTATGTGTTCTTGTTAATTTCATTTCTACAAGACTGGTTTTTTTTTTGTTCTTAATTAGTATTGCTGCTGTTAACTCATTGGCTTTAAAATGCCAAGGAACTGAGAACATGGAAAGTCATACAAATCAGTAATACTCTAGGTCACAGGTCGGCAACCTGCGGCTCTGGACCACATGCGGCTCTTTGAGCCTTCCCCTGTGGCTCCCAGCCTCCTCTGCCTTTGCAGAGAGAGACAGAGACAGAGAGAGGCAATTGCACTTCCCTGCTTTTCTCTCTCTCTCTCTCTCTCTCTCTCTCTGTCTCTCTCTGTGTCTGGGTGTGTGTGTATGTGTTTGTGTGTGTGTGTTGTGTGTGTGTTTTGTGTGTGTGTGTGTATATGTGTAAAAGAGAGTGCACTCACAGTGTTCTCCGAGGAGCTGGGCGGAGCTCCTCCCTTTACTGCGTCTCTGAAGGAAGCAGGAAGCAGGAGAGAGCTAGCTAGCCCAGCTAGGCTGACTCAGGAATTCTGGGAGTTGAAGTCCATGAGTCATAAAAGAGACGAGGTTGCCTACCCCTGAGCTTGTTGGACAACAGCTTGAAGCTTGCCAGGTGAGCAGCAGATAGGAGGGGGGGGAGAAAGAGAGAGAGAGAGAGAGAGAGAGAGAGTAGGGCAAGAGGAGTGGCAGACCAAAGGCAGATAGAGAGGGAGGGAGGGAGAGAGAGAGAGAGAGAGAGAGAGAGAGAGAGAGAGAGAGAGAGAGAGACCCTTTTGACATCTAAAATGAAGATAACACTGCATATATCCTTTTTTTACCTTTGTGTGTATGTAATTTTATTCTCTTAAAGCATTCTCTTGGTGATCATTGTTTTAATAGTATGGATATTCCCAAGAGTCATATTTTTACTTTTATTTTTAATGTGTATATATACATATACATATATACATATATACAGCACGAAGCCGAAAGCACCAGCCTGAAGATGACGAATGAGACTTCGTCGAAACGTCGCCAAGACACTTCCAATTTTATGTGGGAGAAAACCCGAATAACCAAGGACCTACATACATATATACATATATACATATACATATACACACACATACACACACACACATACACACACAAACACACACACACACCTATAATAAAGGTAAAAAAGGATATATGCAGTGTTATCTTCATTTTAGATATCAAAAGGGTTTTGCGGCTCCCGGTGTTTTGTTTTTGGTGGGAAACCGGTCCAAGTGGCTCTTTGAGTGTTTTGGGTTGCCTACCCCTGCTCTAGGTAGATGAATATAGAAATGAAAGAAAGTATTCAGAGTTGGGTTTGTTGTGCATATATCATCTACACATCACACATATTCATTTTTAAATCAGAATAGATTTTGAAATAGATAAACTAACGTTAGCATATCCAGTTTATCAGGATTAGTACGTTACAACGATGTTAGTTCATGATTTCATAATTTGCTATGATTTTGGTGGAACAAAGAGAATCACATTAGTTTATTAGAAAAGGGGAATAACTTAAACGTCATAAAAGATGTGTAACTTTCAGATTCTCCAGAATATTTCAACAGGAGAGGAAGTAAAGTATAAGAAGCAGAGGATGAGAGCAAAAAATAGTAGAAACTTCCAAACCTAAGTCCCTTTTTGGTTCCCTTTACTAAATTAGCATCTTAAATTTAATTCTTCTGCCAGCCAAAAACTACAGTTAATGACCAATTCTGTTTGTACTATGCACAGATCCACAAAGTAAGCTTCACATTACACAAATCATGCTTATGTGGTTATCTTATGGTACAGAGTGTACGAAGCCCCAGCACTCCAGTTAGGGGAACAAAACCAATGTATTGGCTAACCATTATTAGGAAATGATCCAAGCCATACAATTGGGGGCGGGATTGGGGGGTTTCCACCGTCCTCAATCCCTTTCCAACGTCCATATATTTTCAATCGTATGCAAGGCATCCAGAAACATTTTGCTCCTGGTATGGAACGAAGAAGAGGACCGGTCGACCCTCAGTGTTCAGGCTGTATCTGCTCATTCATCCCAGTTCTCTCACTGCATTTCCAGATTTCGGACCTTTCTCAGGTATTCCTGAGTGGGAGGACCAGGGATGCAACCAACCCATCCTCGACGAGGCCTCCAGGAGACGATGCCGCTGCTGCTCTTCTACTACAGGGAAGGACAGAGACGTCCAGCACCACCGAGCCAGTCCCCACGCGCAGCAGCACAAAGCAGCGCGGCACGAGTGGCCGCGGCGCACTAGGGCGTCAGGGGCGCGCGCGCACGCGGTTTCCCCATTGGTCCCGAGGGCTGGCCAGTCCCCGCCTCCGCTTGACGCCGGCCCTGCCGTTTAAATGCCTCCCGACGGACGCCCGCCGCGCCTTTGGGTCCGGAGTTGTTGGGCTGTTGCGGGCGCGTTGGAGGAGGGAGGGCAGAGCACGCGTCTTCCCCAGGGCGGCTTCCCCACCTCTTCTTCGCGGCTAAGGGGGCTCGGCGATTTCCCGGGCAGCCCCATGAAGAAGCCGCCCCTTGGCTTGGCCTCGTAGCCCGCTTTGCGGCGCCAGCCCCGGCCGCCTTTCGCCATGAGCTGTCTGGATGTTATGTACCAAGTCTACGGTCCTCCTCAGCCTTACTTCGCAGCAGCCTACAGTCCTTACCACCAGGTAGGTCGCTGGACGGGCGCTTCCCTCCAAAGGGAGCGAGGTTGCGTGGCGGAGATTGGCCTGGCACTGGTCCTGTTCGCCTCGGGGTTTATTTCGCGCTGTCAGCGAATGGTTTCCTCTTTCCCGGAATGGATGGTGCCGGGGTGGGGGGGGGGGTAGGAGGGTACAGTAGGGTGACTACTTGTCACCCCTTTTGAAATGCTTGGACTGCAAGGGGGCTTGGCAGAGGATTTCGTTTCTCCCTCTTCTTTGTGGATTCGGCCCAGTTCCCTTGCGTACGATCGAATCCGGGCGGGCGGGCGATTTCTTCCTGCGGAAAACTCCGAGAGCAAACCCTAAACGGACTATTGGAAACACAGTCCCTACCAAATCGCTAATGTAAACCTTTTCGACGCCCGCGGGATCCAAGCAGATTCGCCGCCCTGGCCGCCACGGTTGGCAGCGGCGGAATTAAAAGATTCTTACCTGCAACGGTCGTTTAGCTTTCAACTTGGAAACATGTACAGTATTCAGAGCGCAGGCTCGGCTAGCGAAAGCAGCTGAGCAAATCGGAAATTCATCTACGTTAATTTTGATTGAAGCAATTGTGGAATTGGTGCGCCAAACTTCTGTCACAATAAATATTTACGGCTCCCTCATTATTTTAAGGTAGCTCCGTGAAGACCTCCAGCCACATGCATAGAAGAAGGCAGTGGTATTGTATCGGGCCTTGTACCGGGATCTCACCTGCCAGCCAATCTCTCTGAATTCGAGATACTCTGCGTACATGTTAGGCATTTTTCATGGGTTTCTAAAACCCAGCTCACCTGCTTTGCAGACTTTTGATACAACGGCCAACTACCGGTAGGGAATTTCTTCCTCATACAGCGTATCCCGTTGTGAGAAAGTGTCGATACGAAATGGAACTGGTTGTTGCGTCTTCATTTAGGTTTGTGGTTATGCGGACATCCCTGTACTGTCTGCGTTCGTGATAGGACGTGACTGAATGACTATAAATCGCTAGCTGGATACCTTTTAGGATTTTTTGTTAAAAATTAAGGAAACTCCTTTTTTTAATCATTTGAACAAACTTCTAATCAATGTGATTAGAACTAGATTGTGCAGCTAATATACCCCTTTAGACAGGATATGTTTTGTAGTTTAGAATAAATTCGTCCTGAGCAGGCCTAATATTGTTTATGTTGTTGTTTACTGTGACAGAAAAATACTGTGTTTAATTGTAAACCTGTTAGGATAAAATGGGATTTAAAAGAAAATTGCAGCTGTTTTGCTTCCCCTCCTCTCCTTTTGTTCCGAAATGAAGTGCCGTTCGGGCTGCCTTCTAAAGCTGTCTGAAGTCGCAAACATCAAGGAAAAGGCGCTCTGCCCATGCCACTGAAGTGCCTAACTTCTGCTTCCCAAGAAATCGTTTAAAATAAATTTGGCTTAAATCTTCAGCAAACTGAAATCCGTTTTCTCCACAAAATGAAAAAAATGTCAAGGCAGCGTGTTCATTTGCTTGTTCCCCACCCTCCACAATAATCGTAAATTTATCTCCGCTGTCTTACTTTATATAAATAGCAACAAAATTAGCCGTTGCCATTATTCTATTTGAAGAACACTTACTAGTAAACTCAGAACGAAGGGTCTTCACCAAGAGGATGCTCCATTTTCATTACCTGCTACCTTGTGGAATGCCAGAGGATTTTCCATTGGAATATTGTCAGTGGTTGCTTTGAAATCCAGGTGTTTTAGAATTCTGGGGCCCACACATGATGACATTAAGGGCTGTAACCTGCAGTGCACTTTCCGAATAAAAGTAGTAGACATGTGCCTGAAATAACCTGAACATCAGAATGGAAGGATTCTGGAAAGGAAAGGTCTTAAGACTGAACAATTTATCGGCTGGTAATGGTGTGCTTTCCCCCTTTCTGGGCAGCAATGGATCAACTGACCTTCCCAAATTTTTCTTATCAGAACCCCCGGATCAGGCCAGTGTCCCGACAAGTTTCAGTTCCCAAAGGAAGACCGCCTGCAACATGTTAGGATAGGGAGGGCATCAGAATGTACTGGCCATCACAGTTAGTAGCCATTGGTAATCGCTTCATCTGTAACTGGGAATGCTTCCAGTTGCCCTCCCACTTGACTTTCGAGAGGAAAAACATTGTTGGTGTAGAGATTGGTCGAGCCTTGTTTGTTCGCTGACAAAGTCCCATTTGAAAGCGTTTCTCCGATTTAGTTTTCCAGGCACTTAACACTGCATCCGAATCCAAATTATTTGTTTCGGCCCTTTCCAAAAGCAGCAGCTGCAAGCAGCTTAACCGCGGGAAAGCCAGCGCGGAAAGGGTTTAGCCGACTTTCGAAAGAGCGATCTTTCTTCTTCAGAACCTCGTAAACATAATTTCTTCCTTTCCAAAATGCCTTTCTCCCTGTATTCGCCACAGAAATGCGTTTCCCCTTTTCCCCCCAAAATCTATTTCGAAATGGTAAGTCACTTTTCTATTTCATTTCAAACCCCACCTCACTGTATCTTCTTGTTACCAACAAGGATTTTTCTGCTTGGGCTAAATATGGGAAGAGTCCCGTGACTTTAGGACGTCCACCTCGTGAAACGCCCCTTCAAAATGCTCGTGATTCCTAATGTCTAATTTTTCCCAAGAAAAGAAATTAAACTAGGACCCCTGCAGGCATTTGTTCTGAAATGGGCAGCCTTCCGCCCAAGAGACAGCAGTCAACCGGAACTCTGCTCCGTGGTCCTTGAGAATCTGTACATTTGGGACAGAAGTCAAGTCTTCAAGATCTATTCTTGGTCGCTCGTTACGGTAATATTGGATCTAATGAATCCTGTAAAAGTCGACAATCACGGTCTTCCCTGGAGGTTCTGGGTCCCCTAGTTTCCAGAAGGTGAAACTGGTTAGATCCTAGCCTTGTGGCACCCGGAAGCCGAAGGCTCAAAGTATAGCTTAAATCGCAATCAGGTTCAACGATCTGTTTAGAGTAGTTTCCCCGTGCTTATAGTATTTAATGTGCTATTTCTTGGGACGTCGCTATGCTTTTCGTGTATTCTGGACGTTTAATCTGCTAACTCTGTCAAAGAGAAAATAATAATTTAGAGTAGGAAATTCTTCGCTGCCTTTGGTCGTTTTTAGAATTGTTGGGCGGTGATATATAGTCGCCTTCTCCAGATGCGCAAGTGGTTTCGAGCTATTCCTGGCCCAGTTCTTGTCCGTGCAGGTCCTCGTAGCCTTCTGGGGTTCTCCCAGCTCCAGCAAACAGCCCTTCGGCCCGTCCGAGGCCGCGGCGTTTTTAAAGGTTCCGCTGACGCCTGCTTGCCTGCCCGAGAAAGGAGCGCAGGCCGCGCGCTGACCGAAGATCCGGGACCACATCGGGTTTTCTCCTCTCCGGGACTTCCACAGCGAAGGCCGGCAGAGGAACGCTCCCTGGGAAAGTGAACAGGACGGCAGAAGCTCCCCCGGCGCCAATGAATCTGCGGGGCCCTTCCACCTGGCCTTCGGAAAGGCGGCGGGCGCGGCCTGGCCAGCTTTGCCCTTGGGTCGAGTTGTTCCCTCTTCCGCTACATCCGTCCAAAATGCCTCCGTCGAAGGAGACTTCCCAGGCAAAGACGTGACCAACGGGTTGTTGCGACCTTTCTGAGTCTAGCCCTTTGCTTGCTAGACGGGCTAGACTACCACTCCCATAAGCCACCTTCCCCGCGGGAGGAGTAATTGGAATTGTAATGACAGGAGCCTGATCTCTTGGGAGTCGAGCTCTGCTTCGCACCTCACGGGGAATCCGCGCTCTGCGTTGCTCTGAAAGGAGTGACTTGCGCCCCTTGCGTGGGGGCGGGAAGCCCTGCGCTCCTTTCTGACAACTCTTTTCCTCGAAGGCGGCTGAGGGGAGCCTCTCAGTCCGCCGGCTGACAGCCGCGGCAGAGCGGAACCCTTCCTCGCTGATTTTCCCGCGCTTTCACGGCTATGCGGCAGAGGTGTACTAATTAAACGGGTTCGAGACTCGCGTCCAAGTCCCCAGTCGACCACCGAGCTCGCGGGCTGGTGACTAAATGCCAGTTGCCAACTGTTTCTTCTCTAAGGCTTTTTTCGCGTAGCTTTACCCAGCCTGGTGACGGCGATAAATTGTGCTCTATCGGCTAGCAGGAATTAGATGAGCCACAGCATGCAAGAAAAGGGCTAGCTCGGAAAAAGCCGCGGTCTCTCCGCCGTCCTCCCCCCGCCCCGCCCGCAATTGTGGGATTGAAAATGGGAGCAGAGCGCCTTATAAACCGCCTCGGGCTCCCAGAGAAACGAGATAGGAGGGAAGGGCGAGGAAGTGCTCCGTCGCTCTGAGGACCCCGTGCAGGAAATGCTTTTGAGGCGGGAGGATGCAGGGCAGCGGGGATCACTTGGCCCTGACTGTTTGGGATCTCCTTCACAGAAATTAGCCTTTTACTCGAAGATGCAGGAAGCCGCCGAGAGCGCCAGCACCAGCGGCAGCAGCAGCAGCAGCTCCTCCTTCTCCAACCACGCCGCCCCGGCCAGCATCAAGGAGGAGGAGTGCAGCCCGGAGAAAGAGCGCCCCCCCGAGGCCGAGTACATCAACGCCAGGTGTGTCTTGTTCACCTACTTCCAAGGGGACATCAGCGCCGTGGTGGACGAGCACTTCAGCCGAGCCCTCAGCCAGCCCAGCAGCTACTCGCCCAGTAGCGCGGGCCTCAAGGCCGTTGCAAGGAGCTCCGCAGCTTGGAGAGGTGAGCTGGGCAGTTTCTTCATCTCCAGCCTCCTTCAGGCTAGCTTTGCCCCCAGGGGATTCTCTTGTCACTGGAGGCTCTAGAAGATGCAACTCCTCAGAGCTTGGGTCAAGTGGTAGTCAACCTGTGGCCTTCTGGTGACTTGGGTTATAACTCCCAGAATCCTCTGACGAGTTATAATCCAAGGCATCTGGAAACTGTTGCCTGCCTATGTAGATGTAGATGGTTCCTTTTGGTATTGGGAAAGCCACAGGATTCAGAGAGATTGCAGTTTTGTGGAGATTTTAAGAGACCTAACTAAGAAGCCAAGTGCTGTTGTTGTTCAAGGATGGGTAGTAATTGTAGAATGCAAGTTTGGATGCATTTTTTCATAGAATTCTGATCAGGACTGGCCCTAATGTTAGCCAGAGTGAGAAAATCCTCTCCAAAAAAATCTATCTTGCCCTTAGATGTAGCCGATATTGTCCCATCATTAGCGTTGAAGAAATATTTTTATATTCTTTGTAGACAAAAAGACAGGAGAGACCTTGCAGCAAAATGTCTTGGGCCATCTGATAGCAGCTGTTGAAGAAATGAGGGCTAGCAGGGTAGAATTTATATCTTGGGGATAAGTCTCTGCAATTCCCTTCCCTCAGCAGGTAAACCAATGTCATTGCAATCATGTTTAGAAACTTCCATGCTCACACTACCAAGCTAAGGTGGGGAACTATGATCATTAAGATCATTTTTAAATATAGATTGCTTTTAAAGTACAGTATGTAAAAGAGAGCAGAACTGATAGCTGGTTGCTATAACATACTTTAGTTACTATCAAAATGACTAAAGGCAACCAAGTTTGTGAGGCTTATTTCATTTTAACAGAACTACCAGTCATACTCTGATCCAAGATGATAAAAGAATAAAATAATTTGAGCCCAGGAATATGTTTTGAAAGAAACATATAAGTAAAAGGTTCTCTCTAGTATATTTCATTCCCCAAGTAATTTCTATAGAGGGAAAGAGGGAAATAAATCTCCAGTCTGTGTGCAGAACTGGTAAAGAGGAAGAAAATTTTCTTTTCTCGAGTTTACCTAATGACTGTTTCTGTTCATGTTCAGGGTGGATGATTGGAGGGCAGACCAGTGATATTTCTGGATAAAGGTTTATGATTTGATCTGTCCAGCAGCCTCATCCATGTAAAAACTTGTATTAGAAAAAGGGAACAGATAGCAACCTGTGTTCACTTTGCCAGAGATGGGAAAAGCTCCTGTGACTTTGCTCAACCTCCCCAGCCCTTCCCCCCCCCCAAACTATAAGGACTGGTTCTGTTCATTAATTAAAACAGCATAATCTTGCCAGATTACTTTCTCCTAAAACTGATCTCAGGCACGTTTAGAGGCAGGAAAACTTTTTTGTCTTCTTATGTTGATTTCTGCTTTCCTGCTGGCCATAATGAAGAAACTTATTATTGTGCCAGATGGTGCTCTGCTTTGGTCAAATAGAATTCTCTGGAATCTTTTTCAATTGGGTTCCGGGAATAGTTAATATTAGCTGAATAGGTGCCTGGTTCATGGATTACATTAAGCTATGGCTTAATTTTAGCTTGGTGTCAGTGTGAACCCAGAAGCTGTGGTGGGAAATCATAGTTTATACTTTAGTTTAGGGTGTCACTCAGCAGTTCTGAGTTGTTAAAGAAATCATGGTCTGACACATATGAATATGTGTTTATTGTTTTAATAAAGCTATGAGGTTACATATATTTATATAGAAGATTTGTTAAGTAGATAATTGGATTTTTTCCCCAAAAAAGTGAGCTAAGTATATTCATTTATGAACTCAATTTATTTGAGTGCCCATCTTGCAAATGCAATTCTGAGTGGCTAAAAACATATTAAAACAATAAAAAACCTATATTTGGAAGTGTAAAAAGTAGACTTTGGTCACTGAGGATGAATCCAATAAAAGAATAAACAGATATTTTTTCATGTGCCAAGAATACATGCTATTCTTATAAATCAAGTTGTATGTATAAGTACAGACCAGCTTTTTACTTATATACTATAGATGGAAAACAAACAGTATTAAACATAATGTTCATGTGTTCACCATTGAAAAATGTTTATAAAATTATCATGATTAACCAAGATTTGTTGAATAAGCCACAACCATTCAGTATTGAAAGATAACAGACATTATTATCTTTACAAAAAAAAATGGTTACACCAGTCTTATATCCTGAGATAAATGGGAAAAAAGAACTAACAGGTCATTAGGATGAATAGGTGTATGAAGATGAGAATTTTTCCTATTAATTGCCAAAATCTTCCTAGAGGAAGGTTCAGGGGCTAGCCCAGTGCTGGGAGAACAAGCTAGATTATTTTTAGTGGAGCAACCAGTAGACGTGGAGGGAGGGGGCACTTGGAGAAGACAGGAGAAGACAGCACTTGGAAAGGGGGTCTCCTAGTAAATGTCTATGCCATTGAGAGTTTCTGAAGGCAAGCAGATAGAGGAGGGCACTGGCATTGTTTTGTGACAAAACCCAACAGGCTTTATTTAAGTCTAAACTGACCCTTATTTGTTGGATGGAAGCTTAAAGGAATGGGGCTCTGCAGCCCAGCCCTCTTTCACTTTTCTTTTGAATGAAATGGAGTATCTGAGTGCTGTGGAGAATCCCTCAACATAGACCCAACACCACCTCAATATCTATGGCTATACCACAATAGTAGTCTTATCAGTCAAAGTAAAGTCAGTATAAGTTCAAAAGGAACGCTTCTGCAGTCACTGCCTTGATTTCTTTTGTGGGAACCAAACTTCCTGACTGGAAAAGTTTGTCATGGTCAGACAGTGCTATTTCAGAAGCACTGGAGTTTCAAATTTCAGCCAGAGCCATAAAGAGTTGCGGCACCTGAAAGATGAACAAATTTTATCATCACATAAACTTTGGTTAATAAACAGTTCATCTTTAGATGTCAAAACAACTTCTTTGTTTTTATGCCTGAAATTTGTGCTGCTACAGGTGCCCAGTTCCTAAACAAATCTAAGGAGAAGATGCACTTGAATACTGTATGCTTCCTACTGGATATCACTGTGTCATTTTTTTAGCAGCAGTACCAACATGCTTTTATACTGTCTTTTTTCTGAATTTTTTTTTAAATTCCAGCCTTTGTATTCTCATACAATCTTCCATCCAAGCACTAATCAAGGCAGCACCACTTAGCTATCAAGTCCTGACAAAGTTGGTGGGATGCTCATAGAGAAAATTTAAATCATCTTCTGAGAGCCAAACTGATTTTAAAACACATAATCATTCCAGATATCTTATCCTTCTTCCAGACTTGGATTTTTATGGAAGGACAGAATTAATAGTCACTATTATTGCTCCTCCTTCTAAAGAAATAAAAACAGTATTCAAAATTAGCATGCAGTTTTTCTCTCTATAACATAACAACATACACAACAATGTGTGACTTTTATGTCGGGTGAAAATATTATGGGCCTTAAATATTTCTTATTTAAAGCTTTAAAATTCAGAAAAGTGACCAATTTGAAAGGGGAGTTTTAGACTCTTATGTCATCTTCCCTGGAAGTAAACCCTGCTGAAATCAGAAATACTTATTTTTGGCCAAGTATGTATAGATTTATATTTTTACAAAGCAGTTCTCTCTAGTAAGACAACACACTATTCTACTGAGTGTCCAACTGGTTAAGGTGGACTGCTTTATACAACTTTTTCTATTGAGAAATTCAGGTCATTTAATAACTGCTCCCATCAGAAACCATCAAGATACCTTGGTCTATCATCCCAGCCAGTCAGCTAGCCAGCCAAGCCTTGTCTTGGGGCACGGTCTGTCTGAAATGCAAATTATTGGACACATCTCTGCACCTTGAAGCATTTGAGAGGGTGACAGATTCTCACTGAACCACCATAACTGCCATCACATAAACCTTGGTGTGACTCATTAAATATGGCTTGTTTATGAGCAGACCAAATTTTAACTATATGGTACCAATTTGCTTTAGTCCATACATTATGCTAAACCAAAACAAACAAGTCATATTGAGGTAAACTGTTATGGTATGGGGCTATTATTATTGTGCCATAAACAGCACATTATGGTTTATGAACTGTGGTGTGTATGTTAATATGAGGTTTGAATCCAGTCAATTGGGATGGATAAAAAATATATTGGCAATGTCCTTTGCTTCCTTGTTGCTTAACCAGTGATTCCCAGCTCTTGCAGTGCAGTTTGATGGGTGAATTCATCTCTAAAATTTCCATAATTTCATCCTAAAATGCCTCAGAAAATTCTTCCTCACTTCTCTTAAACAATGAATTGTCCTCAAGTAAAAACTTTCAGTTTCAAAGTGATGTATGTCCTGCTGTACAAGACATATTTGGAAAAATTTACCTCAACTTCAAGTAACCTCTTCCAAATCCATGCCCTCCCATCTAGGAGTCTTGCATTACAGCTCCCGTAAACCCCCAGTCAGCTCAGCTTTTACTGCTCACACTGCCTGGAATTATTAGAATTGTGGTCCATTACTATTTATGTGTCACGCCACTCCCAGCAACTCTGATTACAGATAAAACCATTAAAAAAACTAAGAACACCTCCCCCCAGCAATATAGTTGGAGGATGCCACTGAAGGCTATTGTAATGATACTCCTCAAGACTGAAGTTGGGCTATTCCTCTTCATGACCATTTGGTCTCTTCTACCCTTCCACTAGAGCCTAGTGGCCATTTAGTGTCAGATGCAGGACTGTAGTTGAATTCTGATGGCATCAGGTCAGCTACAGAAACAAATCTACATGCCTCATTGCAGCTGATCCATTATTGTAATACCCACTTCTGCTCCTGTGGTTTTATGATTGTGAGGAGGGCCTCAAAAACATAATTTGCTAAATAGAATAGAATAACAGAGTTGGAAGGGACCTTGGAGGTCATCTATTCCAACTCCCTGCTCAGGCAGGAAACCCTATAGTGCGTCAGACAAATGGCTGTCCAGTCTCTTCTTAAAAACTTCCAGTGTTGGAGCATTCACAACTTATGGAGGCAGGTTGTTCCACTGATTAATTGTTCTAACTGTCAGGAAATTTCTTCTTAGGTTGTTTCTCTCCTTGATTAGTGTCCACCCATTGCTTCTTGTCCTGCCTTCAGATACTTTGGAGAATAGCTTGATTCCCTCTTCTTTGTGGCAACCCCTGAGATATTGGAACACTGCTATCATGTCACCCTTCTTTTAATTAAATTAGACATGCCCAATTCCAGCAATTGTTGTTTATATGTTTTAACCTTCAATCCCCTGATTATTTTTATTGCTATTCTATGTACTCTTTCTAGAATCTCAACATCTTTTTTACATCGTGGTGATGAAAACTGGATGCAATATTCCAAGTGTGGCCTTACCAAGGCATTGTAAAGTGGTTTTAAAACTTCACATGATCTTGATTCTATCCCTCTTTTGATGCAGCCTAGAACTGTGTTGGCCTTTTTGACAGCTGCAGCATTCTGCTGGCTCATATTTAAGTGATTGTCCACTAGGACTCCAAGATCTCTCTCACAGTTGCTACTACTGAGCAAGGTACCACCCATACTGTCCCTGTGCATTTGGTTTTTCTTGCCTAAATGTAGAACCTTCCTTTTTTCACCATTGAATTTCATTTTGTTAGATAGCGCCCAGAGTTCAAGTCTGTCCAGATCCTCCTGTATCCTAAGCCTGTCTTCTGGAGTGTTGGCTATTCCTGCCAGCTTGGTTTCATCTGCAAATCATTGATGATGATGTTGAAGAGTTCTGGGCCTAAAACAGAGCCTTGGGGTACCCCACTGCATACTTCCCTCCATGTACCATAGATGCAGTTCCATTGAGGACTACAAAGACCATCAGATACAGTACAGTCTTCCAGTGTGCACTAGGAACCTAAAGCAACCAAACAACACAAAGGATGGTGAAATACCTAGCCAAGGGGAGTCTTGTGCTGCTTAGAAGGTGATTGTGTCAGCTAATTCTGTCACTATTGGATACATTACAAGTTGGCACTGTTCTTGTTTTATCATCCCCACATTATGGGAAGTGAGAGGATTACTTTTTCACCTATAAGCAGTGATGCTTGCTGGGAAGCCAGAGATTTCTACCAATCATTTTCCTGAATTTGTCAGATTAAGGCATTGTTCATTGTCTTTATTATTGTGACTAAAGAAAAAAGAATGAAAGTTTGACAATCAAGGCAGAAAATTTTGTGCTGAAATACTTTTCTGCCAGCTCAGGAATTGGTGGATGTGCAATGCTTTAATGTTTTCAATCTAACAGTTCCCTGAGAGAAGAAATACAATGATTTTGCATCTTTAGAAAAAATGAAATGCATAGTGTCTTTGTGTCTTTCCTTTATACTTGTGAGATGAATCATAGATAAGTGCCCAAAAATAGAACAGTTTCTTTCCTCCTTATTCCTCTATCTTTTAAAATTAATTGTTAGGTTTTAGCAAACATTATCTAACACTCCTTTTTCTAAGTTTTTAAAGTAGAGGTCGGGAAAGTGTTGTAGTTTATAGATTGCCTCTTCTCCAGAGACCAAGGAACTGGGATTTCCAGGACATTTTGTCACTTGAAAAACATCCTGGCAATTCGAACATTCTTCTGTGATCATAGGGCTGACCTTAGATTGTTCCCAGCCCATAATCTAAATACCACATACTGTATGTTTGTCCTTCCTGTTTAACTGATCACAGCCAAAGTGTGCAAATTTTATCCTACCGTACTTTCCTACACTACTTTTGGAATATTGATATAACCCAACCTTCAACATTCCTTGCTAAATTTCCAAATGAGAGGTGTTTATATTTTAATGAAGGGTACAAATATGTCATTGGGTATTTCATAATTAATCAGTCTTAAAAATAGTTTTAATTAGTCTTAAAAATAACCACTCCTCCTTTTTAAGCGAAAAGGGCAGTTCATTTAGTAAGGCAGTCAGGATAGTTAATCCCTATCCTACTGAAGTGTTATATTGGTACACAATGAAATTATTTACGCCAAAAATCCTTAATGAATTATGAAAAACAGAGAGCATGATGAGGTAGAGAGCTAAGCAGTTGGCCATGCTGATTAGGACTGCTGGGAGTTAAAAGTTGGAATGGGACAACTTGCTGCAGCCAACTCATCATGGCCAACTTGCCATGGCCAATTTGCCACAGGACAACTCACTGTGGGACAATTCAACAATTCAGTTTAATTATTTAAAATAATTTAAAAAAATATTTTAATTTTTATCATTCACGTTTCATTTTGTCCCTCCTTTGGCATCCTTTCTTTAATGATTGTATTCCACTATTTCTTCAATATTAGTGTACCGTAACTCTTGTCCCATGACAAGTTGGTCACAGCAAGTTGGCTGTTCGTAAGTTGGCCATGGAAAGTTGTCATAGACACACATTCAATATTCTTGATTTTTAAAAGGTATTCTTTTTAATAAGCTTCTCTAACAGATGAGAGCATATGGTTGACCTTGTCTGGGCTCAGAAACTAAAAATGTGTGGATCTGGTTACTAAATGGATATGAATTAATACCAGGGCTATAGGTTAAACTATGAAGTTTTTTTTAAAGGGTGGGGGGAATCCAGAAAAAGAAAATAGCAATCAACTCTATTGCTAAAACTAGCAATCTAGTTTTACCAAAAAAACTAGATGGATATACATCTGCAGTTGAACTCAGCTTGAAAGAAACATTACTTTCAATGTACTATGTTTTAAAAAAGATTTCACAAGCATTATACTGGGTTTGTTGATAACTAGAGGCATTTATAAGCCAGTTTGGTAGTGGTTAAAGTCACTGGATTGGAAGCCAAAAGACATTAAGCTCTAATCCTGCCTTAGTTATGGAACCTAGCTGGTTGATCTTGGAAAGTTATTCTATCTCATTATAGGAAGAAGACAATGGCAAAGTATTTTTGAAAATATTGCCAAGAAAACTGTAGGGACTGGTCAATCAAGTTGCCAGGAATCAGACTCAGTGGTGGGCCCTCTAGACACAGAAATAAAAAGAGAGTGGTGCTAAGAATGATTTTTAATTGATAAGTGACAGAACAATTTCATGCACAATACCAAACATTCATCTGAACCCAGTTCATGTGCTATTTTTAAATATAAGCAGAATTTTTTTTAAATTGTGTAGAATTTTATATTTTGATTTGATGCTAATGTGAAAAAATGAAAAGGTACATTAGCTTTATTCTTTGCATCTAATTACTTTTTAAATAAGTCAGAATGAGCAGATTTGTACTAAACTATGTTTTATATTAAAGGTGTACATAAACCATGATTGGGTTAACACTAAGCCAAAATAAAACACACATTAGAGTTTCACATACAGTAGTGTATGAAATCAACTGTTGTTTTAAAAGCATCAAAGTCTTGAAAGTTCTTTTTTGGTACTAAACCTTTTTCATATAAGTTCAAAAATAGTATCCTACAAATTTTCAGTATCATTCAGTTTGAGAGGAGAAAATTCACCTTCAAGATGCCTGTAAATACTCTCAATTTTGAACACCTGGGTTTTAAATTTATAAACAATTATAACTATTTCAGAATGGAAAACACAACTTTGAGCCTCTAATTCACAATTTTGTATTGTTCATTTCTGAAGAATATTTATTATAAAGTCTTGTATGGCATAGGGCCTGAGTATCTGAGAGACTAGTTGTCTCCAAAAAATTTTTGTCTAGCCAGAATATTTCTATAGAATGGGTGCACTCCAATCCCCCTTTTTCAGAAGCATGCCTTTTCTGTTGCAGCCTCCACCCTCTGGAACAGCATCCCACAGAGATAAAAGATAGCATCCTCTTTCCTGTGATTCCAGAAAGCTTTGAAACTTTGGTTTTGAACCCAGGCCTGGGATTAAGTTTTATGATTTGTTCAATGGCCTCTATTTTGTTATTTTCTTATTTCATCCTGGCCTGTCTTTTTTTATGTTTTCTTTAGTTTTGTACATCACCCAGAGTCAGTGTGAAATGCAGCACAGAAACAAGTTATTTAGGTTTTATACCTGAGTGATACAAACAGTTTTTATCATATTTGTGAGAGCAAATGCTCAAAATGTTTTATTTGGTTTATAAATATTAATAACAAAATACAAAAGAAAGCATTTCAGTGTCATCTGTAAAAGAAAACAAGCCTGGATAATCTAGTGGGTCATTTTAGGGGAATTGCTTTTGTTTTAAATGCATGTCGTGTTAGAATGCAAAAGGCAGGCTATATCAGTCTGCTTGAGAACTCTTAAAAGAATAAATCTATTGGTCCTAGAACAGTGATGGTGAACCTTTTAGAGACCAAGTGCCCAAACTGCAACCCAAAACCCACTTATTTATCGCCGGGTGCCAGGTGGGCGTGGCCCACTGGGTGGGTGTGGCTGGGGTGCTCATGGCAGACTGTGTGGGTGTGGCCAAGATGGGCGTGATCGCCTCGATGTTGCTTGTGGGGAGGGACACCTGTGGGGGCCGGGCAGGGTTGGGGGAAATCCAGGGGGTCTCTGGCAGGTGGGGCAGGGGGCAGAAGGCTCGTCCTGTGGGGTGAGGCAACGCAAGGCGAGGCAGGGCAGGGGAGGGAGCCATTGTCACAGGGCAAGGCAAGACGGCCTGGGACAGCTGCTGCCTGACACCATCGGCCCCTGCACACAGAGGCCAGCGAGCGCATGGGTACTGGGATGCATCCAGCCACATGGACCTCGGCGAGTTAGCGGGCGGCTGGTTGAAGAGGGACAGTTGCCATCTCTGAGGCATGGCGCGCGTGCCCACAGAGATGGCTCTGAGTGCTGGCTCTGGCACGCATGCCATAGGTTTGCCACCATTGGCCTAGAATATACGTTGTTGGAGCTATGCAAAAGACAAAGAATAGAAATGAGTTAGTTGTCCTCCTATCCTTCTAATGCTGTCTGTTTTGTGCTTATCTTTCTTTGTACAGAGGGATCTTTTCCTATGAACCAACGTAGTTTCCCACCCTCTTTCTGGAACAGCACTTACCAACCTTCTTCTGTGCCTGCCTCTTTGGGCAGCTCACTGGCAGCTGCTGCCCACAGTGAACTGCCCTTTGCTACAGCGGACCCTTATTCTCCGGGCTCACTGCACAGCCACCTTCATCAGGGGCCTCCAGAGCCTTGGCACCCAGCTCACCATCATCACCACCATCATCACCACCCGTACATTGGCACACAGAGTTCTGCTTACCCTCGGCCCGCCACAGTGCATGAGGTCTACAGCCCACATTTTGACCCTCGCTATGGTTCGCTGCTGGTGCCTGCTGCTTCTGTGCGTCCCCACCGCCTCACTCCTGCCTCAGTGCCCACTCCAGTCAGCCCTCAGTGTGAGCTAGGCAAGAATGAGCCTGCCACATCATCATGGACAACGCCAGCTCCTTTTGCTGGTCCTGCAGGAGAGATGGCGCAGAGCTTAGGGCTGAATGTAGAGACAGGTAAGACCTGGCAGGCCCACTTTTCTTTCTTTTCTTTACTGCTGAAAATCCTCTATAGTGTAATTGTTTATTCCAATGGATGAGCAAGTAATTAGGTAAACAACTGCCTATGCATTTTCCTGCATGACCCCAGACAAAACTCTGACTTATCACAGAAGCAACTGGCCCTCCACATTTCTCTCTCTCTCTTTTCTTCTCAATGACATATGATGCCCCATTTTGAATTATACAAAAGTGTCTAACAGGATCTAATGTTTTTGTCAAACTGATGACACAAGCAACATCACACCATTGCAAAAGTTCTGCTCCTTTTCTACATGCATACAATGCTGTGATGTGTGTACAAAATAGACAGAACTTGTATTATAACAGCATATTAATTTTGTCATTTGCCACCCTTGCCCATCTCTGCAGATACCTCTGATGTTATACCATTGCAGAAAGATGACTGGATTCATACCTTTTGCTAAAGCAAAGGCCATCACAAAAGCTGGTCGGAGCAAAATAATTTATTGTGATCAGATTTTGGGGGGGGGGTTGTATCCTGGAGACTTCAAGTGCAAATTTCAGAGGTTTAAAGCACCATTTCAGCTCTTAAAAATCCTGATGAAAGCTCAAAATTGGAATTTTGTTTTCTGTCACATTTAGAATTGTAACTTTTGGTCCTAAGTTGACAAAGATTCTGTTATCCCATCATTAAGCTATCATGTAGTTTATTTGGCTGTGATTCTGACAACACACCAAGAATGTGACCTGTTTTGTTACTCCAGCCACTGTAACTTGCTAACCATGCTTGGTGGTTTAGCATAATGTAGGAACCCAGGCACTGCAATTTTTTTCAATAATCCTTGATTAGACAAACCACAGCTTGCCTAACACAAGGTATGAACAAAGCTGTTGTGTTTCCTCAGACCTCTCTATATCATTGGTTCTCCATGGGGGGGGGGGCAAGGAAACACTCAGCGTGATATCACAATTCATATTGCATCATGTTATCAGGAGGACAGGAGAAAGACACAGAACACCAACAGTATGAGGTCTTTTTTTGTTTGTTTGTTTGTTTGTTTGTTTCAGTAAGTGTCCTGAAACTCTACTGCAATGTTTCTCAACCTTGGCAGCTTTAAGATGCATGAACTTTAACTCCTAGAATCTGGGAGTTGAAGTCCACACATCTTAAAGTTGTCAAGGTTGAGAAACACTGCTCTACTGAATGATATTGCCCATTACTGTCAACTTCATAATAGCCCTATAAGTTAATTTGATTTTTTCCACATTTACTCTGGTGAAGAATCATTCATGGCAACTATTTTTGATGCCAGAAATTATGTAAAAAGTCTGAAACTTGGCACTTTTCTATTTTTTATAAATAAAGAGGTGTTTGAATACAGCATATGAGGCTGTAATGTTTAGGTGGTAGTAACTTGCCCAGTGGTTGTGCCATCAAGCATCTTAGATTTTGTAAGTTCTCACATGAAATTAATCCATACGCCTTTATTCTTCATTTCACACTTCTTCTGGACATCAATTCTTGTGCTTTAAGTAACTTATCTATTTTTGCAAGCATACCGTATGAGGGCATTTGGCTCTTTCTGTCTTTATTTCATTTCTTTTATCTTCCCTTTTTTAATTTCCAACTTTTCTCTTTCTTTTTCTTTCTTTTTCTCTCTGTTCTCAGGTTTGCAGCCTCAGGATAAAAGCAAAGATCTCTACTGGTTTTAGATCTGCCTTCCCATCGTGACTTCTCCTCTAGTCAAACTTTTGTCTATGTAAGAGTGGGTATACAGAGCCAAAATCAAGTCAATTTGTAACAGCTTCTGATCTTGGTTTTCAGCTCACCATTATTCCTACTGTGCTGGATCACTCCTGAGCTGAGCTGCTGATTATAACCCTCCCTTCCTACACACAAATTCTTGCCTCACTCTTTTGATATCAGCATCTCACATCGAGACAAGAAAAGGGAAAAGGCTAAAAGCTTCTTCAGTTTGACATTTCTTCTCCTAAAATGGCAAAATTGACAGCTTCACTTTCAGAAGAACTGAGTAAAATGAATGTGGATGTGAAAAACACTGACTTTAGGATACTGAAGGGTTTGTTAATATTAGTGAGGACATAAATCATACTTATCATTTGCCATTTAAAAAAAGCTGTTTGGAAGCAGCATGGAAGATATTCAAGTATTGTGAATGAAGCAAAGTAATTCTAAACTCTTAAACACATTTGGGACATTTTTTTAAAAAAAAAAGGTTGGATTTTTCTGACTTCAGCGTGGTGATGAGTGGCAAGTGACTAGTGGGGCCACCTGCCCCTAGGCTTACACGAATGCAGCTGTTCAAGAGACAACTGTTCCAACTCTAAGAACTTGACAATCAAGGTGGCCCTTCTCTGAGTTTGGCACAAAAATTGCGTAGGATAATACTTATATACATAGTTGTATATATAAGTTTTTTATACAAAAACATTTATGATGATAGAAAATATCCTTTAAAAAACTCTTCCAGCTTTTAGGAGAAACAACTGGAGTGAGTGGGAGGGGAGGACTAATGGGGTGGACAATAGGCTTCATTTCATTGAATGTTCCCTTATGACTTTTTTTAGTAACCAGGAGATGGTCTCTCCTCTCTCTCTCGTTTTGAAAAGGATATACAGTGTAAGATGTGTTTATTTGTAGGGAAGATGATTAAAAATGTCTCCTTTAACTTTTGATTGCATTTATTTTATGAAGTAGAGGGTGCAGATTTCAGATGTCCATTGGGAATCCCTATTGTCCCTACATGTTAATTTAAAAATTCCATTTACTTGCTTAACATTGATTTAGAAACCATCTGGATCAAATCAAATAGCAAATTAGTTCACTATCTTGTTTCCCTTCATGACAAAACCTACAGATGAACAGATAACAAGCCATAAATAGAATATAGAGATGCAATAACCTCTCCTCTTATCTTTAAGCAACTGCTCCTCCAAGATATGATGCTTCTGATTCTGTTGGTGACATATAAGCATCCTGTTTAGTAGCAACTGACTGTCTTGTCATTTCATTTCATTTATTCAATTTAGGCACTACCTGACTCCAAAATAATTCTAGATATACAATAAAACCAAACAAAATAGGAATATACATTATATTAAAATTATAAAGTACAAAGGAATAAGAAGGGGAATTTAAAAAACAACAACCCAAGAACAGATGGTGTTTTTACCTTAAAACGTATCCAATAAGGGACATCAATAACCATACCCCAAGGCCTGGGAGAACATTCAAGTGTTCAAGGCTTTTTGGTAAGCTATCAGAATGGGGTCACCTGGGCAACACAGGAGATATAATCATATAATTATATCTTATAATCATATAAGATATAATCATATAATCTGGCTTTTTATGCCATGTAGGACTTTATAGGTCGCAAGCAGCATCTTGAATGACAGTTGGAACTAAACTGGCAATCAGTGCAACTCAGGAATCAGCGGTGCCACGTGGACATACCTAGTCATGTGCATTATTGTCCATGCCACTGCATTCTGTTGACGCTTCCAAATGGTTTTCAAAGGGAGATCTATGTGCAAGACATGAATGACTTCTCTTCCTGATCCAGGAAAAGATGCAGCTGGTGCACCAGATGAATAAAATTCATTTTTTTACATTGCCTAAGATTATACTTCCATATCATAGTGGTATCAATAATAACCGTTTTTCTTACTTTGCATCTCCCACTGTGACTGTCATGAGGAAAAATGTCCACTTTTTCCATATTCTGCATTATTTTGAATCAAGCATTATCATATCCCTTTCTAAACCTAGTAGACTTTTCTCAAAGGTGAGATCATTTTATCATTTGATTGTTCTTCATGTTCCTTTCCTGCAATGCAGACAGAAAAGGAAGTGCTCCAAGTATTATTCTGTACAAAGTCATTATGCCGTTGACAGCATTGTACTTTTTATTCTTAGCATGGAATTTACTATCCTTCCCCTCTCCACATATATTAATACATGGGTGTCAAACTCGCAACGTCACATGACGTTGCCAGCAATGGGGTGGGCACAGTTTTGCTATGATGCATCCAGCCGGCAGTTTGACATTCCTGCTCTAATACAACTGCTATATTCTAAGTATTTCCTAAGACCTTACCTAGTGATTCTTATGAGGCTATGTTCTTAAGATAATATACAGTATGTGACATTTAAACATTATTTTATCTTTTTCCACTTGCTTCATTTAAGTTGCATTGTTGAATGCAGATGAGAATAAGCTCATGTACAGCATTTTTCCCAGAATGGCTTTAAATACTCCATTCCAAATGAAGATGGCTTTCACCTGAAATTTTAGGGCTGCTGAACTTGAAATGTGCTAGGCCCATTTCCTATTTGTGATAGGTGACACTGACCACAGGTGATTTATTGTCCTATGCCTGCCTTGCAGTTTGTTAGTTGTATTTTCTTTTTTCAATAAGCTTGCTGGGATTACTCAGGCTGCATAGAAAGTAACTCTAACATAACTAGTGGTTTGAACTTTATTTAAGCATATATTGATCTGTACTATTGGTGTACAACTTTATTATCTTACTGTATTGAAATTCAATTTTCAGCAAGCCAGATAGCAAGAAAGATTCAAAATTGCAGATCAGGAAAAATTAAGGTCATAGGTTGCCTATCCTTGGTGTAAAAGATACTCTTGTGACTTTTCCACTAATCCTTTTTCCTCTATCCACCCTTCGGCTATTTCCTACTTGTTTTCTTCTTCTCCCCTTCAAATCTAGAGTAACAGAAGCAATTAAAGATAAACCCCAGCAGGTTATCATTTCCTATTTTATAGTAAGCTTGGCAAAATGAGGTTTCTTCTATTTGCAACCTTTGTAATCTTTCCCATTTTCATCCAGTTTCATCTCCTGTCCTTGCTGGAAACTAGGGATAGCTGAAGGAAATTCTATACTTCTTTGTATTTCAGATGTTTTTTCATCTAGTTATAAACTCTGTACAACTGCTCTAAGCTCTATATTTACAGAAGCCAAACATTGCTGTCTATTACTACATAATGCCTCATTCGAAGAAGGGCACTACAAGCAAAACAAGCCTTATTGCAAAAGAGTCAAAGTTTTCCCCCAGGTGACAAAACTCTGGATCTTATCTGAATGTTCCCACTGGCTATAATTCAGCTCCAATTTATGAGATATGAAATACAGCCAAACAGCGAGTCTTGCCAGAGATTCAGCTTAAGAATGGGTATCTGGAGCTTTGCAAGCATAGGAGGTGATAGGTACATGGCATAATTAATTTAACTAGATAAGTGTTTGCTGAATCTCTTTCTAAGCTAAGTGTTAATTATGAATTCCTTCCAGTGTTATAAAAGCTCAAGAGAGCAACCTCAGTAGAGAGAAATGTGTGCTGATTGAGTATAGATCACCAACTGTATGTTCAGCTTCTATTGTACCGATGACAAAGGCAGGAGGGAACTGAGGCCAATTACACAGATCATTCTACATAGCCTGAATACTTTTTTCTATCTCATATAAGAATTGGGCATAATATTTGAAAACATGCCTAGTTCAGCACAAATTGAAGACAGCAATGGAACAGAGTAATGGATTTCTTATTTTACTCTTTAAAAACCAAACAAATGCAGTCATGGAGCTGAAAAAGAGCACTGAAGTTCTTGCTAAGGTAATTTTTAAAATATCAAAACGTATTTTGAATGTACTGCTAAAATATGTACAGACAGGTATCTTCAGGGGAAAATACTTTAAATATTGCATTCAAAACAAAAAACTGTAGTAATATACGCATCCTGCATTTCAAATGTTCAAAATACTCCATATTTACAAATGGGGGGGAGGCCATTATTATCTTCATACTGTAGAAGGGAGGAAAAAGACTGCACAGCAATTTCATATGTTGAAAGTAGTATTTGGAGCAATTCAAGATCAATGTACACACTAGCACAAGTTCTACAGCAGAGAGAAAATGAGACAGCAAATTTCAAGCTCATCATAACATCAACTTTAAAAATACACTGGCAGAAATGTTAACAAAAAAAAAAAAGCAGAGAAATAGAGAAACAACCTTTGGGGAAATAAATTGCAATAAGATTGTTCTCAAGAAGCTTCTTTAGCACAGACTAGGAAAAGAATACACTGATGACAGTTTAAGGATACAGAGAAATCCTACTACAGTATAAACTCTTTAAGCACTTACATAGATACACAGATTTTCAGCTGCTTTCTCTATGTAACTCTTTGCATGGACATTTGGCCAAGCTGGTTCCTAGAAATCCCAGGAATAGCTTACGTTGGCTTCAAAAATCCAGATGGCCAGCAAAAGGCAGCAAAGAAACATAGGAAACCTCAACTCTTTGCTGATATTTAGTGAATCACTAAAATAAATACAACCAGCTAGAAAATGTCTACCCTTAACAAGCTTAGCCTCCTATTAGATGAAAGCATAACATCATCATGATGATTGATAATATGCCACTTATTCAGAGCTTTCAAATGTCCCAAACCATTTGTAATCATATAATTCTTTTAACATCCTTGACCCATCAGATCAGTAGGGTCTATACAAAACAGACTGCTTCACGATTTGCAGGAGCCAGATTCAGCAGAATAGTGAAATGACTTACGTGCCTCTTCATTGGACATTACAACTAGAAGGTATGACTTTGTAGCTCATCAGCCAATGACTGAAATAAGATATCACCAGTGAAACTTTTCACTTCATACATGCTAACTCACAGGAAGGCAGACTGCACTTTCAGCTGCAGCCTGCTGAGAAGCACAGTACAAATTGACAGATACGTGGGTGTAGGTAATTCAGAAATTCATCACTGAGTCTGCAGTTTCTCTCCAGGGTTTTTGAGTAAAAAATTTCAGCTGTATCTGGAGATTGGTCTCAGCACATTCTATGAGCAAAGCAGGTACTTTGTGACTAAGCCCTGACCTAAAGCTGTTGTTCTATAATCATTTCTTTAGGAGAAAACCCCACTAAATTCCAGGCAAGTAACTTCTAAGTTGTTATGCCTGGGGCCTGCATTTTAAGTTCCAAATTTTTTTTAATCCACACTTGTTTCTTCTGTCTTTCATGTATATGTTTGTCTTTCCTCTCCATTTCATCAATAAGAGGGCAATGGAATTATTACACTGATGGTAGGGGTTGTTTTTCTGTTGCTGGTTCAGTGTAACTGAAATGTGGATATATAAGTACATAGCAGGAGATAGATCAACAGAAATCTCGTCTAGTCAGGTTCAACCTCTTCCATGCATTGCAGCCCCCAAATCCAATTGTAACCTTAATTTGGTATCTGTCTTTCTACCCTCTTCCCCAGCTTCTTTACAACTGAAGAGCTGTAATGCTACTTATTGCACAGTAAGATGAAAATGATTATTCTCTCTTGACAGACCTGCACAGCTCTCTCTGCATTTAACCAGGGCCCTTACAACTGGGATCAGGGAAGAGACACTTGATAGCGGAGGCTTCCATGGTTGAAATATTTGTGAAGTTAACGCATAATCTGAAAGCAGAAGCTAATAAATTATAAGGTGCTAATTGGGGCCCGAGTGGAGCTGTCAATCACATTTCCCTAAACACACAGAGACCCTCCTAACCTAAAAAGGCAAGAGAGTCTCCAAGAACAGCTCCCAGTTGTCACCAGCCATGACATCCTGATCCGTCTCAACAAGGGCATACATAAGCTGTCAAAGCAGACCGTGTTCAAAGACATTAGGTTGCAATCCTATGTGTGCTTTCTTGGCAGTTCCATTCTGCACAGTACGGGAGAGCTTTTTCAGAAAATGTATATCCCAAGGCTGTTCTTTCATGAAGCTCTTGTAAAGGTCAAACTGGGAAGACACTCCAAATCTAACTGCAGTAAGCAATCAACTACCAAACATTTAGCAGTCCTCCACCTACCCTACCCACCACCACTACCACCACCACCACCACCACCACGAGAAAATGAATTTCAAGGACAGAAACTTCAGTCTCACAACAAACAAGATTTGGTTTTATTTCCTCATAGAATTCTACAGTTGTACCACAAAGTTTTTTTTTTTTCTTCACGCAGGCAGCTGTTAATAGCAAAACAAATTGGTGTTCATATGCTGTCCCAGTTAATAAAGGTTCTCCTTGCAGCCATGTTACACAAAATGACATCTCTGTACTGAAATCTTCAGTAACAACTTATCACCTGCTTCAGTCATGAAATACTTTCCTACCACTAAGTATTTTCAGTTTCAAATGTATAACATTAAACCTACCATAACACAGTGGGAACAGCACAAGCTGTGAGGTGGAAGATCGCAGGCTGAATATGAACTTGGACTTGAAATTCTAGATGGCCTATAATGTAAACACTTGCCTCCCTGATTAGGGCAAATGCCCAACATAGTTTTGAGCAAACCTCTTGTATCTTGTGAATTCCAGACACATTCCTCATTTACAAACACCATGAGTGCCCCAATAGCGATTCTAGTGTGAGAGGCCCCCAAGCTGACCTCCCTATCCCAAAATTTAGCAGACTCAGAATTTGTTTGTGTTTTGCTATACATTCAATAAAGGAAGAATTAAAACCATCAGTGTTATTTTATTTACTGTGTTCATGA